AGAGGTAATTTTGGGGTTCCGAAAGAAGCGTTATCGTCTAATTTCTGTCGTATTCAATTACTGCTCGTGGAGTGAAACGTGACAGAGAACGTGTTCCCCCTCCTCCGGCAAATGTTCGTATGTCCTCGGTGGTTCCTCTGAGTCTGATAACTTTTAAAAGAGTCATTTTGTTCTTACATAAAATGTTAGTTGAACGTTTGTAGAATATTGTACAAAAATTAGAACGAAATTCGCAGATCCGAGAAGTCGCCATTGTTATCCAGGCCTCGGACTAAGCTGAGGGGCCACTTTAAAGGAATACTTGCAAGGGACAGTCGCAGGGGACAAGGGGGCAGTACTTGAAAGGAGTACCGTAGTCGGAAAAGCATGTAAAAGCTGGATGGTCCTTAGGGATCTACTGATTCCTGCGGAGCGAGTGACCAAGTGTACAGGTCTGAGTATAGTTGCCAGCAACAGGCCCAAACTACCCCTTCCCAAAAGCAAATTGATGCAACCGAGATGCGTGCAGATGCTCGCTGTGTGCGTAACGATGTTTTTCTCAAACGGTTTCACTTTTCTGGTTACATTCGACGATCGTTTTCATACGCGGAGATCGCATCGTCGAGGGAAAAAGAGGACCAATAAAATGAACAACGTCATCTTGTGCCAATGTTATCTTCAAGCTTTATTTTTTTACACTTCGATACATGCTGTATCAGTCGAAAGACATGTGAGCCCAGGATCAAGGGAGGTTCCATTTGTCTCTGCTGAAGACTCTACTGTATATACTGAAAGTCACGAGATCCGATGTAGGCTCCGTCAAAGTCATAGTTACGTTCGTTTGGTTACCATCCTCCACCTCGGTGAACGTAAAGTGATCGAAGGGCAAGAACGCATTATTCAGCACGCTAGGGAACGTTACAGTACTTGAATAATCTTCACCGAATGTCGCTCGAATAGTCACATGGGTAAAAGTAGTATTCGTCTGCATAAGGGAACCGCAAGAAGTTATCGACTCGTTGGCACATTGTATCAGACCGCATACACGAGTGCCGCCATCCATGCCATATCCGTAGGGTCGAATCCCGTCAAAAACTACAGCGCGGTAATTAACGGGCGTGGAATCGATGCTCTTTGCACTAATATCGAAGTCACAACAAAGGTTGTTCTGGCAAATGGTCTGGGCGAATTGCGTGTCATTTAGCTGAACGTATTCAAACACTGTGAAGTCGTTGTGCCACATTTTTACCTCATTATAGTCGAATGTTTTTTGCCAGTCTGGAAGAGCTGGCATGTAGTTATGAGTCGTTGTCGTGCAGTCTCCTTCGGTGTCCGCGTCGCACGTTTGCGGGTTCCGGTTCTTTGGGACTCGAGAGATCAACAGCCGATGTTTCAGATTGCTGATCATCGTCACGTTTCTTATTCCGTCACGACCTAGATACGAAATAACGATGAAAGGAATGGATCATTTTTATACAATTTTAAAACGCATTACCCCAATAAATGCCGCTGCCACTGCTTCCCAATTCCGGATTGTGACACCCGGCTGCTAATAGATTGATGTTCTGCGAGTAGGCCCATCCGGCGTGCACTTGGGCAGCTGGAGAGACAACATTTTCAAGAATCTGCTACTCTAATCACAACTGTTATATGCACTTCGTTGTCTTAGCTTACCTGTTAAGAAAGGCACCTCGGAGTACCAGGCGAATGTATACACGATGTTCGAAACGCCTAGCGTTCTCGTCAAATTCAGAGTCGGTTCGGTGAATAATATATCGAAGCATATGATTATACCGAATTTTACACCGAAATCGGTGTCGAACGTGACGACTTCCGGTGTCGGCTTGTCGAACGACGGTTCATCGTACAGATTCGTCTTCCGGTACCTGTTCGTGTCAAGGAAAAAATACTTCAATCGCAATCGATAGACAGTTATACTAACATTACCTAGCAATTATCTTTCCTGTTCGATCAAACACAACGTTGGAGTTGTAATGATATATACCATCCTTTTCGGCGATGTTCACCACCACGTATATACTATTTTTTCTGGCTGCGCACGACAGTCTCATCAACGTCTATGAAAAATAAACGCAGTGAATCTTTTCGAATCGAGGATAACTGAAATATTCTTTGGGGCAACGAGGTACAAGATAGTGGCTGTCGATCAAAACATGCTTTTCCTTTGAGACACAAGAAACACAGAGACATAGTAAATGACCCAATTTCGAGTGACCCAAAATACGAGTACGAAATTTATACAAGTAGACTGTTCTTTTTTACTCTAATTTTGAGTAAAAATGCATTAGATTAGATGGAAGTGATGAATTGGCAAAAAAGTAATTTCGGTTTTCACAAATACATAGCGTTTTAATAGCCGCAATTATTTTTTTATCAGTACTAAGAGTAGATAAATGAGAAGCCTTGAATTAAAGTAAATAAGCCACAAATACTTTTTAAAAACACAGGAATATAGATATACTTACTTCACTGACATCCTTGATGTCATTCCTTGTACAAGGAACGTATTCATCCTGTGCGGAAGGGACCTCCATCGTCCATAGATCCATTTGCGTTTTGTCCGGCAGCAACATTGACGTGAGTCCAGTTTCCGGGAATACAATAATATCCGCACCCTACAGGATTTTTCGATCGTAGACATTTATCAGTTTCAGAAATCTCTCCGGACTATATAAATGAGTATCACCGGACGACTGATAATGTACGAAGATTGCAGACTCACATGTTGGCTAGCTTCTTCTATGTATCTGATGTAC